ACCTGCCTTCCTTGTTTGAGTGTCCTACCTTTTTGTTTCTTCTTGTCTGAGTATAACACTGTATGGCCCTGTGTTTGTTTGTTTGTTTGATTCATGCCGTGGGTGATAACTTTGGGCCATGAGGTCTGGGGGACACAATGAGCCACAAGGGCCACTCATGGGGAATCAACTGGCAGCCAGCATTGAGCAGGATGGAAGAATCCACAGGAGAAGCCAACATCCAACGGACTCAAAAGCCCATCAGTAAGGTGGAAATACAATCTGATACCTGAGAAAGCACAAAGACCATCAAGACCTGAGGGCAAGCTGTGGTGACATCAGGCAGCCCATTGTAGGTTGGTTTATAGAAGGGGTGTAAGGGGAGGTGGAGCCCCATGAATATCCATTGGGAGGAATGACTGATCTCGAGGGACTTCCAACAGGAGACCCCACCACTGAAGTTACATTCATAGTCATGGCAGGCGAGTTCTGGAGTACTCCCCAGGGTGATCAAGGCCCCTACCAGGGGTAACTCAAAGCCTCTCTGTGTCCATCACCAGGCGCCCACGCCAAGGTGGCACGCGAACAGATCTTTGAAGTGAGATGGGCACAAGGAGGTTGGAGCCCCATAAGAAGAGTGGCCTCTGGTTCTTGGAATTATCATCAGTCCATTTTTTCCAGCTCCCAGAAACTTAAGTTGCAACATCAAGGCATGGTGGGTGAGAACACTCCATCAAAGTGAACTGGACCAAAGTGTTCCTAGACCAAATCTCATTGGCACAGGCCCACCACATCCCAGAAAGGTGGGATAGTGGCCTCAGAGGGGGAGAGAATTAACAGTGACTGCACATGCTAACTCCCTGGGCCATATCATCCACACTGCAGGGCTCCCCACATGTCTATAAATCTGGCAGTGAAAGAGAATTAGCAGCATTAATTGCTGCCACCTTGGGAGCTATTAATACTGCTACTGCTGCCCTGCTGCCAAATTTATAGACCCCTGGCTACCCTGTTTGTGGAGCTGTGTCATCCAGCATACTAGATCTGGCTTAAAGGATGGAGGTTGAGCACTACTGAACTAATAACACTACCAAGGCTCACTGCTTTCATTCATTTGTGCTTGGTGCTTATCTGACCTTTTCCCCTTTGGGATGCATTGCAGTTGCTAGTTCCAGTCACTGGATGGGAGAGTTGTACTTTCATCTGTCACCCCTTATAACAATTGAACTTAGAAAATGTTGTTCTTGACATGCTGGAGTAAACATTCACAACCAGACTGCATGCCAATTTGCTTTTTCCAGCATATTCAAGAAAAGGCAGATTTTGCATCAGTGTGACATTTGGAAATTTCAATCCAAAATTGATCCTGGTTTTGAAAAATCTGTTTTTTATAGTTTACACAAAATCACAAAAATGTGACTTGCCTAGTCCATTATCAAACCTCAAAGGTTATTAAACTAAATGCAAGTTAGGCCTAGAACTTCACAAAAACAACATAAAATCCAAAAACTTCTTCAGCTGAAGTGGTTTTTAAAAAAATTTGCAACAAATTTTTGTTCAAATTAATGCTGTTCCTATTTAGAGAGAACTATTTATTCTCTGTTCCCATGTATTGCTCAGAAAATGAATAAAATATGAACAATGACCTGTGAAGGACTGAATGCAAAGTTGTCTGCTGTTATAAGGACACAGGCATAAATTCATCAGATCTTATATACCAAGTACAGTTGGACTGTAATGCACTCCTGAGTCATTGTGAGGAAGAATTATTCTACATGCCACTAGAGGCCACTGTATACCTTAAATAAAAAGGCTGACTTGTGAATTAATTAATAAGTCTGGGGAAAAAGACCATGCCTTTGATCCCAGAGCTTTCACGCCTGCTACTTGCCAAACAAATTCTCACTCAGGTGTACATTAGTCGAGCAGAGATAATTCCCTCCAAATTACACAAAAACAGGCCATGTGTATTTCTAGGTACTGTACTAGATCATTTGCAGAAAATAAGCACATCTTTTTGATAACTTTTATTTTCTAATTAGCGTCTTGAGTCATCATGGTAAAAGCAAGCAAGGCAATATTATTGCAGCTGCACTGGGCAGGTTGACAAGACTGTGCTAAGCAGGACTGTAGGTATACAGTCTGGGGTGTCGGGCCAGATTTGCTTGATAGTCTGTTTCTGCACATAACACAGAAAGAAATGGGGAGGAAAGAGGTAGATATAGGCCACATTTGCACTCTGTGTATTTTGGGAAGGTCTAGCCATGGTGTAAGCCAAAGCAGTCAGAGAAGGTACTGTTCTAACTGACACACTTCTTCCTGTGGCCAACTCTTCAGTAGTAGGAAGTCTCCCTTATTGCTGTTTTTAAAGGATTAGCACCAACAGGCCTCCATCAAGGTGAGGGCCCTGTTGTGTTAGATGTACATTTTAGCAAGAATGTCCCAGAAGTTTAACCAGACCAGACAGACAAGGCCAGATCCTTATCCTTCAGCTGCTTTGTTTTTATGTATTTTATTTCTACATGGACAAGGTTCTATTTTTCTTTTGCTTGGTGCGCACCTGTAACAGGGGGCCTTCTCTGGGCTGAGTTTCCTGTGGCCAACCCTCCTGTTTCTGGGCTAACTGCCCACCTTCTTGTTAATTAATTAATTGATGTTAATTAAGCAGGAGGCTGCCCATTTCTTGCCCCAATGGCAGGGGGCGCTATCTGCTGCTCCGTTCCTCCCCTACACCATAGCCCAAGCCTCACAGATGGCATCAAGCTGTTGTCAATATCACCAGCCCCACACTGGGCCCCAGAATCCTGATCTTTGAACCCCACCTGGATCCCTCCATTCAGGTGGCCCATTCCGCCTTCATTCCAGGCTACATAGCTCCATGAGCTGCTCCCTCTTATGGGTGTGGTCCCCCCAGACTTTGACTCACTCAGGGAAATGATGGGGGGCAAGTCTGAAGGGGAAAGAAGTCCAGGGGACCTGGCTGTATATGTCAAAGCTGTCCCTGTGGTCTAGTTGTCCCTTTGATTGCCATCCTTGGGGAGAACAATTACCCACTGAGACTCTCACCTGTCATGTCTTGATGGAAAATAATCAGTAGAATTCTGCCTCAGTGAGAGATGATACCTCACCTAGTTAGAGTGTGTCCATTATTAGACACGTAATATTCCTAGATGCCTGTTGGCAAGACCCTTATAGGGTCCAAACTGGGAGCTCCTCTACCTCTACACTCCTGCCACAGGCCTCTGTATGGTTTCACAATCACACTGGATTCAAATTCCAATCATTGCATTGATCACACTCTGACCATCACATTATCTTTGGAGGGTTTCAGCCATACCTCCCTGTACTCATACTCGGAATTCCTGACAGTCTGTCTAGTACAAAAACAAATAAATGTGGGAAGTCTGGCTGCCTCTCCCCCTCTTCTGGCATGTGTGTCTACATCCATTGTCTGGGGGCTCCTCTTGCCTTCAGTGGCCTTTTAGCTCTGCCCTGAGGCACGTGAAGCCTATCAGAACTCTCCTCCCAGCTGTGGCTCATGCCCCCAGTGATAGGAAAGCCCACCTGACATGAGTTAGGGTTGGGAAACCTCTCATCCAAGGCACAAGGCTCCCCTGTGCTCCAGGGCTTCTCTTCCTGACAGCTATAGTTTCCCAGCTGAGACATACAGTTTGCAGCACACCGGCCATATGTCCTGTGGCATGGTGCTGAGTGCTCCAGCCTCATCACCCTGAGCCAGTGGGGTTTTTCCCAGCCCACAGGTGAGGGGGAGGGGGGGAGGGGGAGCTTTTCCCACCTAAATCCTTTCTACACTGTACTTTAAAGAAAGTTTACTGAGGATACAGCAACAAACCATCCCGATGTGCAGAACGACTAGAAAGTATGCCAGAAGACCAGCTTGGCATAGCAGATAACTTTTCAGTGAACTAAAATACACAAAGGAAGCTTACAAGAAGGGGAAACTTGGACAAACAACTAGAAAGGAGTATAAGAGTATCGCTCAGGCATGTAGGGATGAAATCAGGCCAAAGTGCAATTGGAGTTGTGGCTAGCAAGAGATGTGAAGGGTTTCCACAAGTATGTCATCACCAATAGGAAGATCAAGGAAACTGAGTACTTTACTACATGACTGAGGCAGCCTAGTGACGGAGGATGTACAAAAGGCCTAGTGACAGAGGGTGAAACATTCAGTGCCTTTTTCACCTCAGTCTTCACAGGCAAGGACAGCTCTCAGACTACGGCACCTCACAGCACAGTTTGGGAAGGAGATGAGCTGTCAATAGTGGCAACAGGTCAGGGACAATTTAGAAAAGCTGAACATGTACAAATCCATGGGGCCAGATGGAATGCACCCACGGGTGCCTGAGGGAGTTGGCCAATGTGATTTCAGAGCTGCTGTCCATTATCTTTGAAAACACATGGCAATCAGGAGAGGTCCCAGATGATTGGAAAAGGGCAAATATAATCCCCACCTGTAAGAATGGGAAGAAGGAGGATCCAAGGAACTACAGACTGGTCAGCCTCACCTCAGTCCCTGGAAAAATAATGAAGCAGGTCCTCAAGGAATCCATTTCTAAGCACTTGGAAGAAAAGAAGGTGATTAGGAACAGTCAGTATAGATTCTCCAAGGGCAAGTCATGCCTGACCAATCTGATTGCCTTCTATGATAAGATGATTGGCTCTGTGGATTTGGGAACAGAAGTGGATGTAATATACTTTGACTTTAGCAAAGTTTTTTATATGGTGTCCCACAGTAATCTTGCAAGCAAGCTAAGAAACTACAGGTTGGATGAATAGTCTGTAAGGTGGATAGGAAACTAACTGGATCATTGGACTCACAGGATAGTAGTCAGTGGCTCGATGTCTCATTGGCAGGCAGTGTCAAGTGAAGTGCACCAGGATTACAGATGACACCAAGGTGGGGGGATTAGTAGATACGCTGGAGGGTAGAGCTAAGATTCAGGGAGACCTCAACAAATTGGAGGATTGAACCAAAAGAAATCTCATGAGGTTCAATAAGGACAAGTGCAGAGTCCTGCACTTTGGATGGAATAATCCTGTGCACCATTACAGTCTGGAGACTGGTTGGCTAAGCAGGAGCTTTTCAGAAAAGGACCTGGGGGTTACAGTGGACAATAAGCTGAATATGAGCCAACAGTGTGCCCTTGTTGCCAAAAAGGCTAACTGCATACTTGGCTGCATTAGTAGGAGTGTTGCCAGCAGATCAAGGAAAGTGATTATTCCTCTCTGTTTGGTATTGCTGAGGCCACGTCTGAGTTCTCGGTCCAGTTTTGCCCCCCCCCCCAACAGAAAGAATGTAGGCAAATTGGAAAGTACAGCAGAGGGCAACAGAAATGGTTAGGGGGATGGGGCACATGACTTCTCAGGAAAGGCTGAGAGAAGTGGACTTATTTAGTCTGGAGACAAGAGGATAGAGAGGGGACTTAATAGCAGCCTTCAACTACCTGAGGGTGGTTCCAAAGAGGATGGAGCTAGACTGTTCTCAGTAGTGGCAGATAACAGAACGAGAAGCAATGGTCTCAAGTTCCAGCAAGTGAAATTTAGGTTAGATAGTAGGAAGGACTTTCTCACACTTCAAAATGGGGATGGGGTCACTTGAATTAAAGCTCATTCAGCAATCGCTGATCCTGGGCAAGCTGTTCGAGAAAATTATTCTGGCACGCATCCAGGAGGGGCCAGCAGGGAACGGCATGCTCAGGGGCAACCAGCACGGGTTCATCAGCGGCAGGTCCTGTCAGACCAACCTGGTGGCCTTTTACGACCAGGTCACTAAATCATTGGATGCAGGGGTGGCAGTGGATATAGTTTTCCTAGACTTCAGGAAGGCTTTTGA